TTTCCATGTCAAAAAAGTCAGTTTGTCATAAAACTGTTGAAATATAAGACTATGAAAAATACGCAACTAGAAAAACTACAAATCCCAGAATCCCGGTCCCGCATACTGGCTCTTACGAACCGACTAACTCCCCTTGTGTGTATGTACAGCTCTCAACATGCCCAGACTTGTAGTGATTGTCTCCTCTTAATACTTTTCGCCTCATTCTGAAAGAAAGAAGTGAAATGTGCCAACGTGACGGCCGTCTTGGTGTTGGTGACGTGTGCGAGACGGGAGATGTAGTTCATTCAGCGATTCACACAAAAAAATGTCTTACTTCACAGTTTTACGACACATTTTTATTTTTTTGACCTGCAAAATTGACAAACATCATGGGTGTAATTCGTGGCACAATTCAAACGGGATCGCCAACCCCATTGACTTCAATACATAATTTTTCCGAAATAAGGTCCCATGGAGGTCCACTGGAAGGGGAGGGACTTCGCCTCTCTATAAAAGATGCTGCAGGTGATGGTAGTATACACAGCAGGCACAATGTTTAAAGGCCAGTTTATTTGATTACATCCATTTCATTAAAAGTAATGGCTGAAGTGAAAATGTTCCTCCTTCATATGGATGAAAGTCATTGTGGTGTAAGCTGTGGTGTTATCTTTGCCATTTTGATGCTTCTGCAGCGTAACCTTTCCAATTGCAAATCACTTGTGTCCATTTCAGCTTGGTTTATTTTGGATTCATCTTACTTCCCCTATATATATATTCCCCTCCTTTTTTTCTTTCAACTTTTTCCCCCCAGTGTCTTTCTGCTGAGCTTGACTCCCACAAGCATGATGTTGAACAGTTGTCCAAAAATATGGAAAAGCAAAATCTAGATCTGGAAAATAGATGTAAGGAAAGTGAAGATGTTAAGGCGGAGAAAAGCAAACTGGAGAAACAGCTTTCAGATGTTCAGACCAAGCTCTCTGCCCTTGAGATTAGTCACCAGGAGCTTTCAGTCCAGACTGAAGAACTGTTATTAACCGAGAAAAAGCTCTCTAAACATCAAGAGGAACTACTTGCCAACAACAAATCCTCAGCTGACGAAAGGAATTCATTGAACACCGAGTTGAAGCAGCTCAAAGATCTTCTTCAGGCTGAAAACAAAAAACTGGAGCATGCTGAAGGTGAACACCAGGCCCAAGTCAAGGAGCTTCAAAGACAACATGAAGAGAAGAATGACTTGCTCCTAAAGTCTCAGCAGCAAATTGAGGCTAAAAAGAAGCAACTAAATGAAGACTATGAAAAAGTCTGCAAAGACAAGAACCGACTCGAAGATGACCTCAATGAAAGCAGGTCAAAGCTCACAAGTGAAAAGGACAATCTCATTTTAGAAAGAGATTCTGCTAGAAATGCCAAAAAGTCTCTTGATGCTAAGAATGCGAAGTTGCAGGAAAAACTCAAGTCCTTGAACTTAGAAAAAGAAGATCTTACGATGAAGAACACTCAGCTGCAGGCCCTCACAGAAACACTTGAAAAAGACAAAGTAGAGATGTCTTCTGAATTCAGTGCTGCTGTTTTGGAAAAACAGAGCCTTGCAACGCTAAAGGAGGAACTCCAGAGTAAGCTCCATGTTACCAAGAAAGACTTCGAGAGCTCTGTCCGTGAATGTGAAGAACATAAAGCCTCCAAAACCAGCCTGGCCCAGATGCTGGAAGAGTTCAAGACCAACAGTCAGGTGACTGATTCTGAGAGGCTTCACCTTCTGCAGGAGAAAGAAGAACTGGTTGCAAACCAAAGGAAAGTCTGTAATGAAAAGGAAGGGCTCCTCAAAGACATAGAAGAATTCAAGGAGAAGCTTCAAGTCTCTACAGAACAACTGTCAAAGTCCAACGAGAAACTTAAAGAAGCATTATCATCGTTTGAGCAAGAGAAGCAAACGTTTCGCCTTCAGAGTTCTGAAATTGAGATGTCTCTACATGTTGTACGAAAAGAAAACATGAGCCTGGATTCGGCAATAGAGCAGCAGAAAATGGATTATGAGCGTTTAGCGGGAGAGAAGGGAGAGTTGGAAGAGAAGCACACTAAAACCCTATCTGAGAGTAATGCTCTTTCTCTAGAGCGTGATAAGCTAGCTAGTGAAATCCGAACAAATAGAGACCAGTTGGATAGTAACTCCAAAACTAATGATGCCGTTGTTCAAGAGAAGTCTCATCTAACAACAATGCTAGAGGAAAGCAAACGTCAAAAAGACCAAATTGAAGCAGAGATGAACTCATTGAAACGAGAAAAGGCTGACTTACAAAATGAGCTTCAGAAACACAACTCTGATATTGAAACTCTTGAAAATGGCAAAGCAGAACTTATTCAAGAGCACAGTAAACTAAAAACAGATTTTGAGAAGGCTAATTCTGAACTTGTTAAACAGGTTGATAACCTTTCTAAAGATAGTCAGGGTCTGAAGTCGTTGCAGGCTGACACCGACAACAAAGTGCAGTCCTTGCAGAACGAGAATCAGCGTCTGCTTCAAGAGATCCAAGAGTTAAAAAGTAAGATCGAATCGATATCAGGGGCCAAGCTACTTCTTGAGGCCCAGCTACAGACTGAGTCTAGTGAACGCAATTCAACTAAATCTGACAAGGAGGGTCTCTCCAAACAAATTGAGGAGCTGAAGAAAACGTTGTCTAAGGTCACAGAGGAAAATAAAGAGATTTCTTCTAACCTTAGGAATACTGATGAGCAAAACAAGTCTTTTGTCATGGACGCAAAGGTATTCAAAACGCAATTGAAGCAGCGAGAGCAAGAAACTAGTCAGTTGACAACAGATAAAGAACAGCTATCATCTAAGCTTGAGGATATAGGCAAACAGATGACCTCGCTGACCACAGAGAAGGAAGACCTTTTAGCTGCAAAGTGTCAATTGGAGCAGAACAATTCTTCTCTCAACACAAGCCAAGAAACCTTGCATGCAGAACGGTCAAAACTCCTCGGGGAAATGGAGAAGATGCACGCTAACCAGAGACAACTAGAGATTGATGTCAAGGACCTACAAATCAATAAAGAAGTTTTGGATAAACAATACCAGAGTGCTGTCGCAGAGGTGTCTGCTTCCTCTGTTGTTAAAGAAGAGATTTCCTCCAGCATCTCAAATCTAGCCTCTCAGAAGGAGGCCCTGCAGGTGGAGAGAGATGAAGCCCAGCAGCAAGTCAGGAAGCTGGAGTCCCAACTAAAAAATGCCATTTCTAAGCAGCTTGAGGTATTCCTCCTCCAGTAGTAATCACTGACGTGTGTAGATTAGAGTGGCTGGGGCTCCCTCTCACTGCATGCTTGCTGTTTCGTCTGCCTTTCCACTTCCCTTTTATCTTCATGTGTAACTTTCACCTTCCATGTACTAACTGCTGTGAACTACCCTCGGCTCCCAGCCTTTGCCTGTGGGCTTAGAACGTGATATAAGGCAATTATAATGTTAAAATCAACTGACCATATAGGGCTACGCTGATCTTTGTCACACTCATCATATGGTGGTGTTTCATATTCAATTTGATTTTGTAACAGATGAAAATAAACCAGCTTACCTACTAATAGACTTTCCGAACATAGTTTTTAAATAATTATAGCCACAATAATCTGATTTACAATGCCCTTCAGTTAAAGGTGGGGTAGGTAATTCACTTCAGAAACACTTTTTGTTAAATTCCATGGAATGCTCTTAGCATCCCGATAGCAATAAATCCATTCAAATATTTCATCTGTGGAAGCCGTAGTACTGTAAAAAGCACGACCAATCCTTTGAGCCGGCCCGGCTAAAGTAACTGGATGGCCTACCTGCCTGTCAGCCTTCCATCTGTGCACAAACTTATCTCGTGCCCTCATTGGTCATGTGCGCGTTCGTGTGTGTTGGAGGAGGGGCTCTGTAAGGAAGTCTGAAGGAAGGGGCAGATCTTTTTCGGCTGCGTAGTTTCAAATTCTAGCGCACTCGAGCTGGTTTCTCCATTCTTACCTACCTTTAAGGTGTGCCCGCTTATCCGCCTCACTCTGTTCCACATCAAAGACTAATACTACTGCACCCCAACTTGGCGGCCCCCTCACCCTCCCCCGGTCATCCACCTCCGCCCGCCAGGGAGCTGCAGCCTGTAATTGGGTGTGGAGCCTGAGAGGCCTTGTAGTGGACGGCTCAGCGGAGACAAGAGTCAATTACCAGAGCTGATAGTGCCGCGGAGAGAAAGGTACACCAGACACACTGTAGCGATCTGTCTGAGCAGGGTAAAGGAGTCAGGTGGGATGTGCTAACATGAAACCAACATGCTACATTTCTCACCTCCCAGTAACAGTGACAGCTGTAGCATATTTTTCACTTATGCTCAGGGGTAGGTTATATATGGCCCTTTCTGTCAGTGAAACCAATTAGTGAACCAACATATGAGGACACATTGAATTAAATTAAACCTTTTATTTTATAAACATACGTTACAGTTTCCCATAGCTGACAAACAGATATTTCATAAAGTTAAAAGCCGTGTCTCAGTGCTGGCGCTCCCTTGGCTTCAAAATAGATTATTGTGTCAATGATTCAACAGCGGCAATATTTTAATCAAAGATGATCCCAGGAACCCCTAATTCATTTCGCTCCCATCAAATCTGACAGAATTGGATTCATGAGTTCTTCATACTCAATATGCTGAGACAGTAATGTGAATCAGAAGATTGGCTCTCACTGGTCACTGACATCTTCTCTCTCTTGAATTTGCTTCCTTTCTGGGTTAGCAGGGCCGCCCCTGGCCAACTTGGGGCCCCAAGCGACATTGTGAGATGAGCCCCCCCCCCAACGGACAGGAGTGAATTTCTTTTTTTGGAAACAAAGTAGGCTACTTAGCAAATATAATTCCTGTTTATTATTATTATCAACAGTTAATTGTTTATACAGTGAGTTAAATGGTAAATGTACATGTATGTCGTTCAGTATGCCACTTCACTTCAAGACACTGGTACTTGCGTACCATGCTGTGAATGGATCTGGCCCTTCCTACATCCAGGACATGGTTAAACCGTACACCCCAGCACGTGCACTCCGCTCTGCATCAGCCAAACAGCTCGCTGCACCCGCACTGCGAGGGGGACCCAAGTTCCCATCAGCAAAAACACGTGGGTTTGCTATCCTGGCTCCAAAATGGTGGAATGAGCTCCCCATTGAAATCAGGACAGCAGAAAGCTTACACATCTTCCGGCGCAGACTGAAAACTCATCTCTTTCGACTCCACTTCGAGCGATAGAATTACTAACAGAACACTTATATACTAATAAAGGGCTGGCTTATCTAAAACCAGTTGAGTAGCACTTGAAATGTTTGGCTCTATGAAACCTGATGTACTTATATGATTCTGTTTTCTTCAAGGTTGTATCTTCCCGGTCGAATGTAGTTAGTGTAAGTCGCTTTGGATAAAAGCGTCAGCTAAATGCAATGTAATGTAATTATTTTGTGTTGCCATAAGTTAGTCAGAAATTGTTAATGTGGCCAAGTGTTTGTCATTGACACAGTTTGCTGTCCAATTNAGCTAAATGCAATGCAATGTAATGTAATGTAATGTATGCGTTTACAGGTGAATACGTCTGCATTTCCTGCCAAATACTAGCCTCAAAAAGATTAAAATATAATTAATGCAAATAAACTACTTCTACTAATAATGATAATGATTAGGGATGCACCGAATATTCGGCCGCCGAAAATTATCGGCCGAAAATGGTTAAAAAGGCTCTTTCGGCTTTCGGCCGAAAGGGTTTTAGCACCGAAAAAATATCACCGAATGTCAGGGAACAGGGTTACGTTGGTAAGCTAACGTGTTGTTG